GGGGAGAGCTCTTGGATCCCAGACCGACAGTGGGGAGGCCAGCATGGGACTGATCTGGATCCCCCAAATGTGAGTGTCAGCGAGAAGGCCTGGGCAACCTATGGGGCCCTGAGCTGTGGATCAGTGTCTATCCCTGATATACAAACAGTCTTCGTGTGCCTATAGCACAAAGAGGGATGCTCTCTCAGCCTGGACTCTTAGGGGAGTGCCTGGACCCTACCCAGAGTAAAATGACAGACTCTGATATCCCCTATGTGGAAGGAGTTGGCAATAGGGTGGGAGGGTGAGGGGAAAGGGGAGTGGGGGAGGAGGGGAGGGAGAGGGAACTGGGATTGACATGTAAAACAAGCTATTTAAAATTTTTAAAAAATTGAAAAAAAAAATCAGGGCCTAAGCTCCAAGCTCTTGGGTCCTAGAGAATTCAAGATTAATTACAATGTTTCAGAATAGGCTAACCTGGGTCATTAAAGAACATTCCAGAGATCCTGCACACATGTCTAACCTGTAAAGTGATCTCTATAACAGGAAGACATGCTGATCTAAGAAGTAAATATCCATCATGCTATCAAAAACTTTAAAAGTTGTTAAAGGACCAACCAATTATGGCTCAAAACATTATTTTGTTTTGGAATGTGGGGAGGGTCAGAGGTCAATTTCAGGTATCTTCCATCTTAAATTTTAAGACAGGTTCTCTCACCAATTCAGCTAGACCAGATGGCCAGCAAGCTCCAGGAGTCCTTTCTCTTCACCCCCCAGTACTGGGATTGCTGGTGAGCACTAACACAATTCGATTTTAACACCTGCTAGGCGTCAGACTCAAGCCCCTTGTTTGCAAGGCAAGCTTTACTAACTGAGTCATCTCCTCAGCCCGTCTGTCTTTAAGGCACAGCTAGAGATGGAAGGAGTGCCCCTCCCACCCTGTACCCAGACAGTATGCTTCCTAATCACAGGGTGTGATCAAAAAGACCTTCCCGAACAAGGGTGTGATATCTGCGTCTGCCTGGGGTTTCAGGCCTCCCAGTCTGGATTCCACCCTTTTCCCCAGCCTCATGCCCACTAGATCTTCTCAGTCCTCAAGGCCATCTCTCTCAGCTCTCAGCTACTGGCCCCTCTGCCAATACATTCATCTGCCCTTTCTACACTGGGAGCCTTCAAGCTGCTTTGAATGGAGCGCCTCACACACCTCACCTTCACCAGTCAGGCTCCCGTGTTCCTGAGTCATCAGCAACTTAACTTCCTCTTTCTGCACTGCTTTTTAGTGATTATCCAGCAGCACTGACTTTGTTCCCCCATTATCAGGCATCGCGTTAACTCCAAGTACAGCCTGCTCCGTGGTTTAATGTCACAGAAACTGACTTACTTCCAGCACTCTCCAGCCAAATTGACTATTTCCCTGATACTCAGTGGTAAAAGGGTAGGAGGAGAGGGAGGGATGCTTCATAACCTATCTCATTCACACCCTGCCTTAACTGCCCCAGAAGCTCTAGGCTAGAAGGATGCAAAACCTCCCTACTGCGTCAGAAAGATTTTGGGTGGTAAAGGCAAAACACATGTCAGAAACAAAGAACAGTTTACTTTGGCCCAGTTTGAGAAAGATTTTGGTCCGTCCTGGAGAAGAAGGCATGACAGAGTGTGTGGCAGTGGGAATATTCAGCAACATTTGTGCACATCATGACAGACCAGAAAACAAGACAAACAGACCAGAATCAGGGATACGGCTATCACCACAGACCACTTCCACCAGCCAGGCTGCATCTCCCAAAGGCCCCACGGCCTTGGAAATAGCGCCTCAAATTGGAGAACTCATGCTCAAAATATGAGCCCGTGGGAGAAATTTTGCATTCAAACCGTAATGGTAACCAGATCATGCTTGAAGCTAAAGCCATATGACTTTATTTTAATCTCAAAAAAAAATTATCAGGAAGCTCCTAGGCCCATCTGGGCTCAGACAGCACAAAAGCCAGCGATGTTTAAAAAAGCAAACAGTTTCCAGATTCTCCAGGGCACAGAGAGGCTTACAAGTATCTCACCATTTGCACCGCCTCCCTGATGAGACTAAGCTGCCCCTCCCAGCCTCCCTGCTGCCACCAAACTGAAGATAATCCTCTGGCCCTGGGCCTCTGGGCCAGATGGATAACATTTCTCCAGTGGGATACACTTCCCCTCCCTCCTCAAAGTAGGAATGTGGGGGCCTGGCTCTTGGTGAAGAACAGCCATAGGGTGGGAACAACAGCCCTCTGTCTTCCAAAGAGATTTGTGTGGAAAGCCGCCCAGTCCCCTCAAGACTGACTAACTCTGTTCAAATGTCTTCAGTCAAATCATCCTATGGAGAACCCTGGGGCTCCGTCAGTACAGTGTGTCCCACACAGGCATGGACACAGGAACTCTGATCCTCGGCATGTGTAGGGGCACATGCCTGACATGCCAGTGCTGGGGAGGCAGAGACGGGACGATGCCTGGAGCCTACTGGACAGCTGGTCTCACTGACAAGTGAGCTCCAAGTTCAGTGGGAGAGCCTGTCTCAGGAGGAGAAGATAGACAACACCCACATCCACATGCTGCCCCCATGCTTTGTCCTTTGCCCCTTAAATGACACTGTCACCAATTCCGAGAGTCACGCACACTCTGTGTGTGTGCTGTACCCACACACACAAAGTGAACTCTAACATGATACAGTCATGACTTACTGACTCACCAATAATCAAAGGTGTGTTATTTGAAATTTCCATTTAGTGACCCCAGTGTATGTTGAGGGAAATGGGGTAGGTCTGCCCTTATGGCATGCATGGAACCTGAGTCCCCAAAGGGGGAAACAATGTCCCCTGACCAGACACCTTTACACCACCAGCTCTATCCTTTCTTCTCTCTACAAACCCAGGGCCAGCACTCACAGCTAGCCGGAACTCAGCACAGCAAGGCAAGAAGACAATGCCTGTGACTGCTCTCATAGGGTCACCATATGACCCTATGTTTAAACCAGATCACTTTCATTTTAACCCATCAGTGAAACAAAGTAAAGATGACTCTCGACACTTGAAATTGGTGACATTGTCATGTAAGGGGCAAAGGACAAAGCATTCTGACTAAGGGGCATTTTCAGATGATCACTGATAACCCTGAGTCTTTTATTATTTTTTATTTGCATATCTCCAGAACAGAGGAAGCAGTATGCTTTTTTGGACCTAGATACCCACCCTGAACTTCAATGATCACACAGCAGTCAAGGGGCAGAAAATCAAAACCCCTCCCTCCCCTCCTAGAGGAAGTGAGAGAGAGTGGTCATCTTCCTCCTTCATCAGTATCTCTTCTTACAAGCTCCCATGCCACAGTTCTGGTTTTAGGCGCTGCCACCTTGCTATTCATCTGCTCTAAAACTGTGCTATTCCAATGCTGGAAAACATCTATCCATAACTCACACCTTATAAATGAGTGTGAGTCAAAACATCAGCTCATTCCAGAATTCCTGAGCTTCCAGTCTTCCTCCTAGGATCCTTGAAGGAGGGAAGGAAGCTGATCCTTCACTGCAGAGCCCACACAGGAAGACTGGTGGTGGATTTGGCAGAAAGTAGAAAGGGACTTTTGTTTTTTTTAACCAGGATTGCCTCCAGGGAAGGCAATTGTAAATCGTCATGAGCAGTGATCACCAGAAGTCACTTGGAATTCCATGCAGCAGGAAGCATGCCTGGCTCACACTTTGCAGAGAAACATGGGGGGGGCGGGGCTCAGGCAGAGGACCATTGGGCTCTCTTGAGGAAATGCACAGCTACAGCCTGGCCCCAGATCTGTGCAATCAACCACACACACCCTAGTTCTTCTAGCCGTGGGAAGGAAGTACAGGGCCTGTGAGCATTAATGACTTCCTGTGTGAGAGGTCATGAACTCCTCTGACTCTCTTCTGCCTTCTCACATGTCAAAATAGATGGCCACGTGTCACCCATGAACTTGTCACCCAAGATTGGCCTGAGTATCAGTCAAGGTTAGCAAATTCTGAGACGACAAGAGCTGATCCCCACTCTGGGCAGCTCACCCCACAATGGGCTCACCCCTTAGACTGTGCTCAGGTGCTGAGATTCCACCATCATCATCCCTGTACAGAGGGAAGCCAACAGATTTCTCTCTGTCCCTGAGAACAGCAGCCTACATTCTGTTAGGCCCAGGAAAGTCAGGGTCCAACAGTCACTTCCGTGACAGAGATACAGTGATCTCATCTGCCCAGAAACTACAGGAAAGAGCTGGTGAGTAGCTAAGTGACTGTCCCACTGTCACAGGAAAAGCAAAAAACTGGTGACAGAGCATTAAAAGAAGACAAAACTAGGTGTGGTGGCAGGTGCATACATGTAATTAATGTTTAGGAGGCTGAGGCAGGGGGATTCCTTAGTTCTAGAACATCATGGGCTATATAGTGAGGCTATGTCAAAGGAGAGGAAGGAAATAAAGAAGGGAAGAAGTCAGGGAAGGAAATGAGGAAGGAAGGAAGGAGGGAAGGAAGGAGGGAAGGAAGGAAGGAGAAAGAAAGAGGGAAAAAAAGAAGTTAAGTATAGTGGCATCTTGCCTTGCCAGTGAACTTTTAGTGATGGCCACACTCTTGGGCGTGGTTTCAGGTGCAGATGTGACCCATTATAAGGTAGAGCAGTAGCTGGTTCACCCACTCTTGGTTACAGAAAACACTAAAAGGGCAGAGACTACATTTTCTGGGGCAGGAAGACCGAGGTAGTTATTTACTCTTATTTGTGTAAGTACTTCCCTAATAAATAACTATTTATCATTTATCTTGGGTCTGGGGGACTCATTTAAACCCCACCATCAATTGGAGCTCAACATGGGGCTTGAACCCATGACCCTGTGATTAAGAGTGTGTTTTTTAATCCATGCAACCAGGTTGATGCTACTGAGGTGGATTTTACAGATGAAAAATCAAGTCTTTGGAATTCAAAGTACTTGCATAAGGTCAGATAATTTGTAAATGATGAATATGAGGTTCAAATTCAAGACCCTCAGACTCCCAGAACCATGCTTTTATTTGCTTTACTATACTCATATACATACACACCCATATACAGATAGTTTTCTTTTCACTTTTTCAGACTTGGTCTCCCTACTCTAGGCTAACCTTGAACTCCTGAACTTCTGAGGCAACTTCCCAGTGTTGGAGTTACAGGCATAAGCTGTTTCCCCATGTATCTTAGGGACTTTGAAAATGGCCAAATGGTAACTATGGTGACCCTATGAGAGCAGTCACAGGCATTGTCTTCTTGCCTTGCTGTGGGACTCCAGAAGACATAGACAACGGCTTCCAGAAAAATGGATTCAGATCTTCCCACCATCCAAGTAGCCCACTGTGATGTGTCAGAGCCCATACCAGCCATGTGTGAAGTGTTAGCCTACACCAGCCATGTATGAGGTGTCAGTAGCCCACATTCTCAAATGTACCCAACAAACAGGTCTTACTCTGCCATTGCACAGCTCAGGGGCTTAAGGGTCACAGTTGATTTGAGCATGGTTTTGAACTCAGATCTTCCTGACTCCGAGGCTGGTGACTAGGGAACCCTTTCCTTACAAAGGAAAGGGGGGTCAGTACAAAAGTTGTAGCTGAAGCAGAGTCACTGAGCCAAGATGAGTCAGCCTTTCCCTTTCTCAGAACTAGAAGATATCACCTCTGACAAAGGATTTTAAAGTCCCAGGAGAAGCTCTTTCCCCTTAAGGAAGACATGTCTGCCCCTTTTGAGAAAACAGATTCTGCATTATTGCCAAGCCTAATGATGTGATGAAAATAGGCAGCTTAGGGGCTAAGTGTAGGTGGCATGCCTACCACTAGGAAGCTGTGTGAATTTAGGTGAATTGCTCAACGCCTCTGAGACCTGGTTTCCACAAAATGACAGAATTGAACTGGATTTCCTGGGTATTCACCTCTGCTGGTGTTCTCACAACCGATGATGTGTTGATGAACTCAGGAAAATTCCCTGAGATATAAAAACCAGGGAGAGAATACATGAAATTCTGAGAAGATAAAAGATAGTTAAACGCTATGAGAAATGGGGTATTCTCTCTGCTCTCAGCCCTTGAGGTGGAGGCAGTAGGTTCATTTCAAAACTAACTTGGGCAACATTAGACTTCCATCTCAAAAACACAAAACAAACAGAAAAGTGATGAGAGACCCCTGCCTGTTAGGAGTGATTCACTGTCTGTGATACCTGCTGTGTGTATGATTCACTCTTCTACCCATGGGAAGGTCTCTCATTATCCGGAGGTAAAGTAGTAGCAGAGGTTAGGCTGGTCCCCAGACCTGCAAAGGTCACCTTCTCATCACTGTAAATAAAATTCTGACAGAAGCAACCTAAGGGAGGAAGGGTTTCTTTTGTCTCACAGTTTCGGGGAACTTCAGTTCATTGTAGTGGACAAGATATGCATGGAGCAGTGGCTCAATCCAGGTTGGCCAGAATATGAGGCAGCAGGTGACACTGCAGCAGTTGGGAAGTGGAGGGAGGAAATGACATAAGGAACAAAGGACAATATACCCCTAGAGAGTCATCCCAGTGAACTGCTTCTCCAGGAAGGCCCCACCGCCTACCTCCTAAAAGCCCTACCTCCTAAAAGCTCTACAACCTCCTTCCTTCCAGCTTAGGACCAACTACTAAAAAATGTGAACTTGAGGGGGATACCCTATATTCCACTCATCAACAGCAGTGTGTGAGTGCATGCATGTGTTGGTGTGTGTGTGTGCGCATGTGCGTGCATGCACACAAGCCCACTAGAGGTATTTACAGCAGAAACCCGGCATGGTGATGGGAAAAGATGCTGAAGAATCTTTTTTTCAGTTCTGTCTGATTCTCTGCAAAAATACCATAAACAACTGTCAGATTCAAACTATCCAGAAAACGCACAAAATACAATGGAGCAGCCTCTTACTGACCATTCCACCTCAAACTGAGGATGTCTTAACACCGGCTACTGAGGCAGGAGGATTGTGAGTTCATGGCTGGCCTGGAAAACTTAGTGAGACCTTGCATCAAAATAAAAAAGTGAAGAAGGGGCTGGGGTTTAGTTCAGGAGAGCCTTGCCTAGTGTGTGCAAGAACCTGGCTTCTTTCCCCAGTTTTGCAAAAATCTATCCACATGCAGCATTCATTTTAGCATTTGTACAAAATTTACAGATCCTTCAAATGTAAATAGTTGTCATTTGTTTTCTCCTAACAGTGTCAAAGTACTATCCTAAACCAAGACTCGCTAGTGACTGCCCCATTGTGTGTACATGAGGAGCAGTGAGTGACCCATTGGGTGTATATGGGGAGACCATGCTGGGTGTATGGGGAGACCATGCTGGGTGTATGGGAAGACCATGCTGGGTGTATGGGGAGACCATTCTGGGTGTATGGGGAGACCATGCTGGGTGTTCCTGAGCACCTAGGCTTTGCTGGTGGACTAGCATAGAACTTAGCTCTATTTTCATGTTTCAGGTTCTTTAACACCACACTGTATTTTGGTTGTGAAGATCAGGAGGCTGTGAGGTTTGGAGTAGAGATGACAGATTGAGGGCAGGATCTAGGGGACATTCTTCTCCTTTGTGCCTTTGTGTCCCGTTGGGGAAAGTAGCTGGAAAGGCCCTTCTTTTCCCTGCAGAGCTGAACCCTCAACAGCAAGGCACTTCCCAACCTTGGAAGTTGCTCTGGAATCACCCTTTTGATTTCCACTAGTGAGCACAACTTCTGATAGTACAGACAGATGGCCTCCTCTAGCAAGGAAGGGACACATGTGGAAAACCAGTCAGTTCAGGTAGAGACTCCAGGTGAGGGCTCATCCAAGGGCCAGAGCTGCAATCCTGTGACTTCCAGCTTCTGAGGCCCCAAATACACAGCCAAGTCCATGGACCCTGAAGGAAGGGTTCTGGGTAATGCTCCTCTACCAGCAGTCATGACAAGACCACTGCATTGCTGCTTCTATGTGAGTATTTCTGGGAACATTTCAGGTCACATGCTAACTGCTGGAATTTACAGTGGTATCTGGGCCTCTGAAATAGATTGTTTGAAGGATGGCTGGATTTCTGTTAAGTTGAGAAAATCAGCAGAAGTACTTTTCTCTATTGGAGCAATGGGGGCCTGTAAGTGGACATATCCTAGAGGAGATGAAAGAGTAATTAAGATGTGAGAAAATGAGATAAGGGAACACATACCAAGCAGAAGAAGTCATAGGAAAACTTAAAATTCTTACAACAGAGCAAAACACCTGGTCAGGCCTGGTCATAGTAGAGTTACACCAACTGGCACCACTCAAAGAGAGTCATCTGCTGCTCAGTGTTCACAAATGTTTCCAGAACCACTGGCCACTTGAAGTTGGCCATAGGAAGAATCTTTCCAGCATGGTAATTAGTAAACACTGTGAATTAGAACTTTGATTTTTTTTTCTTTAACCAGCTTGCCAGCACAAAGTACAGGAATGGACACTATTATTGTTAGATACCACTAACGAGTCAATTGAAGAGAGTGATGTGGTCAGATCTACACTTCTAAATCTGTCTCTCTGGGACTAGTATGGAGAGGCAGAGGCATATCTAGGAGGCCATAGTGGGTCACCATTCAATCAAAGGCCAAGAGTGACATGGGTAGGAGCAGGAGAAGAAGCCCCAACCAGTTCAGAGGTAGGCTGAGGATTCAGTGACCGGTGGAATCACTAGTTATTTCCTTCTTGCCGCCTTAATATCCCTTGCTAAAGTGACTTAAGGAAGAAAGGGATTATTTTTACTCACAGTTTGAGAGTTGGGTACATCAAGGCAGGGAAGTTGCAGTGGCAGGAGCTTGATACATCCTGTCACATGTCACATTGTACCCACAAACAGGAAGCAGACGTAGACGGATGCTGGTGCTCAGCTCACTTCCTTCTTTTTATTCAGTCTGGAATCATAGCCCACAGAATGATGATCACCACATTTGTAGTGTATGTTACCACTTCAATTAATCCAGTATGGACACGCCCAAATCTCCTAGGTGGCTCCAAAGGCTGTAAAATTAAGAGTCAATATGTGAGTGGAGATGCAGAATAGCAGAGGGAGAGAGGAGGAGCCCAGGCCAATGAGCTTGAAGCAGCTGGGACAAATGTCAGGCCTCTTCACGTGATCTCCCTCCTCAAGAAAGACTTGTAGAGTTGACTCTAGAAAACCCTCCAGGACTGATTGACGCAGGCTTGACAGAGAAGGGAGAGGTCTACAGCCTTAGCTTAGGAAGAGCAACACCACCCTCTTTCTCCTCCCTCTTCCATTCTGCTGTGTTCTAAACTGTCCCTAGAAGCTACATGTTGGCAAGTCAGCTCCCAAATTCACAAGTCAATGGCATTTGGAGGTGGGGCCTTTGGAGATGATTAATATTGGTTATGAATGGGGCCTCCTAATGAGATTAGAAGAGGGAGAGACCTAGGCTGACACGCCTTCACCCTCTCTCCACACAGTGCCCAGTACCATGGCTGACCCAAGAGGATGCCCTCTCCAGATGCTGGTGCCTTAACTTTGTATTTCCTTGCCTCCAGAACTGTGAAACTTTTGTTTTCCTTATAAATTACCCAATCAGTAGCACGTGTTTAAGTTGCAACAAGGGCTGAGGATAGGGCTCAGACAAGAAAGTGATTGTTGTACAATTGTGAGTACCTGGATTCTATCCCTACCACCCACACAGGCCTGGCACTGTGTACATGTAATACATCACTGAGAGCACGGAGACAGAGGATGGCACTCACTAGCCAGCCAGTCTTCCTGAACGAGGGAGCTCCAGGTTCAGTGAGAGACCCCATGTCAAAAAATAAAATAGAGAGGGACTGAGAAAGACATCTGGTCCTGACCTCTGGCCCAAACAGGTATGTACATGCACACACACACACACACACACACACACACACACACACACACACACACACACAAGAATACCTTCTCTTCTTCCTCTGCCCCCTCCCCCTGCTGGCAAAGTCCTCCTAAATCTCAGATATAAATATTCATGTGGTCCAGCCAGTATCAGACAGCTGCCTCATCACTGCTGGTCCACCTACCGTCAGCAGCTCTGGTTGGAACCCTGAGCTCCTTAGACACTAATGTTCAGGGCTGTGATCAGTGCCAGACACTTCATCTTTCTCAGATAGATTCCTCAGCTACTCCTCTCTCCAAGCTGTCTGCTTTGAAGCATAAACTACAGGAAAGCTGAGAACATAAAAATGGACATGCTGACAAGAAAGAGCACTGTGTTCAGAGGCAGACCGGCCTATAGGGCACACAGCTCTGTGTCCAGACCTCTCAGAGCCTCGGGTACCTCACCTGAACTTGGAGTTGTACTCCCCAGTGCAGATGATCTTTATGAGATTGGGGTGAGGTATGCAGGAAGGGTTCAACACCAGAGTATTGTCCATGTTGCTGGTAGTGGGAAAACATTGTTTTAGAGACAAAGTGTTGCTGGTAGTGGGAAAACATTGTTTTAGAGACAAACAGGTCTGAGATCTCATCAGCTCTTTTCTGCTGGCTCTGTGCTCTGTGCTTCTGGGTCATTTACCTAATGCCTCTGATTGTATTGGTTTATGGCTACCATTTTTGAATAGGTCTCTGTCCCTCAAGGTCATCTACTTCTTGGAGGATTATAGCCAATCCAAGCTACATATAAAAGTGCTTTGAGAAGCTGTCAGCACTAAACAAAGGCAAGGGAGTATTTGTTCATTTGTTTGTTGAAGCCCATTAAACACCTTGACTGCAGAGGAGTCTGTGTAACATGGAAGATGCTGGCTGCTACCACTTCAACCCCAACCAGAATGCTAACACTTGCCAGTGTTCCTGTGTAGGGTCCCAAATACCAGACTGCTGACTTCATGCTGTGCCAGCATGAGGCAGCCTCGTGTACAGGAAATGAGAGAGAATTCAGGTCCCAGTACTGAGGGTACCGACCCTAATGGAATGCCCCAGTGTTATGCCCGCAGAAAACAGACCTGAGGGTCTGGAGTACAGATCTTGCCAGTGGGTCTCTAGACTGGCATGGAGCCCCAGGCAGAAGAAACAGTGGAGACATACTGTTTTTCAGTCATGAGATGACCAGGTGGGTGTGAATGAATACTGGGGAGATGGTTCCAGAAGCCTGAGAAGGTTGAGGAGCGGATCCAAAGACTCAATCTCCAAGGGAATCCTGGGAGATTGTAGAACATATGTTAGCTGTATCACATGTCCCTGGAAATTAGATATTTGTTCTCCATTCCTGTAGTCACTAACAGAGGGTATTTCCAGAAGGGTCTCCCATCTCTGTTCTGCTCAGTGTCCTAACCTATAAGCAGGCTCAGATCCTCCAATGGGCAGAGTAAGACCTCAGAAGAAAGCATGGGACCCTTAGAAATGTGAAGCCATTTGAAAGATGGGAATCGTAAACCAATTGCCTACCTTGAAGATGGGCTAAGGATTGGGGAAGACCATTGATGTTAGCTGCGACAATTGACTAACTGGCCGTAAAGAGAATGTGTAGCCATTCACCTCAGGATGGAGAAGGGAAGGAAGAAAACAGGTTCAAGATTGCAGACAGCTTTGCAGCAGGCAGTAGAGGATTTGGATGCTCTCCTGGAGTAATTGGGAGCCATGGGAGAAACACGCGGAGCCATGGGAGAAACCCAGGGCAGTACAGGAGCACAGCCAGGTTTGTGATTTATGAAAACCAACCAAAAGTAAAAGTAAAAACAACCAGAAAGCTTGGAGCCATGAATCAGTCATCTAGGGAGTAGAGGGAGAATAGTATGCAAAGATAAGCCAAAGCTTACAACACACACCCCTACACATCTGAAAGAAGTTCTCTTCCTGTCCCTCCAGCCTGGCTGCAATGCTCCCAGCCTGGCCCTACTCTTGCATCATGAGTCCACCTCAGCATTCAGGGATAATCTGGATCCATCCAACAGTAGATTCCACCCCTCCTCGGCCCTGCCCAGAATCCAGCATCAGAGGGCTTCACTGACCTCCACCCTTCCCCAGACTCAAGTCTGGTGTGGCTTTTCCTACACCCACTCCTAAGGAACTGAGTCCTCCTTGGGTCTTTGAAGAAACAAGGTTCTTCCTCACTGTCCTGTCCCTGGGCTCACCCTGTTCCCTGGCCTGACTCTCCAGACCATATTGGTGTCTTCACTGAAGGCCAATGTCCAGACCCTTGGGCTAGGCCCTTTCTCATGACCATGATTCAAAGCAGGGGAGGTTGCCCCATTACAAAAGGATGGGAAGTAGAGAATGCAGTGGTGTGCACTATTCCAGGGAACACCGGTGTTGGTATGGACTCAACCTGGGGTTCCCTGTCCCTAGCTGACACCCTCACAAAGCCCTAAAGTTAAAGAGCCCACACTACAAAGAGCATGTAGCTTTTCTTTAGGATGCCATCAGCACAGGGCTAGCCCTTCCAGGGTACCTTAGGAAGCCAGGGTCCCATTTCAGCCCCTTTCTAACGATGGAAGAAGGCAAGCAACCTGGCAGAGAGTCCAGGCCTCAGAAGGACAACTCTGCCTCCTGCCCCCAACCCATTCCCCAACCCATTCCCCAACCCATTCCCCAACCCAGCCCCCAACCCAGCCCCCAACCCAGCCCCCAACCCAGCCCCCAACCCAGCCCGGCCAGTCAGCTGAAAACCTCTGACTCTGTCCGTGGCCCCTCCCCTCATCTGTGCACCTTAGGCAGCCACACCCAACCATACCCTTCACACAAATCCCTGAGCCCGAGCCCACCCCCACCCTTCTGCTGGGGAAGCCACCCGGCCCTGCCTTTTCTTCATAAAAGGCCTGCCTTTATTTTTATTCTTTAATAAGGTTGCCACTGGACTGAGGGAGGTAGATTTTAGCCCAAGGCTGCATCTGCCCTTCATTTAAAACTACCCTGACTCCCACAAGGTTGGAAAACAAGTCTCCGAGCTCCTCTTTTATAGTCTTCCTTAGATCCAAACCCAGAGCTATTTTTGCCAACAGATTGTGTCAGCCTGGAGCTCATTTGCCTCCAGAAAGGGTCCCTCTTGCGTAAAAAGCAAAACCCACCTGCAGCCTGCCAGACAACCCCATTCCTCTTATCCCACCTCCAGGATCTTCTCCTTGGCTGTCACTAACCCGGGCCTTCAAAGAAACCTTTTCTCTACCTGGAAGCTTCTGGAATCCTGCCGCTGCGCCAAACTCTTACCTCATCCACAGTCCTTAATTCTCAAATAGGCATGTAGTTTTAGATTCCAAAATATGTTTTTTTTGTTTCCCACTAGAAGTATACAGAGGGGGAGTTTATTGTTGTTGTTGATTGCACTGGGTTGTTTGACTAAGAACGTCTGGACAGAGGTAGGCAGTACAGGTTTGTTGGGGAAACCTGTCATTTACAAGGAAATGAAAAACAAAGGGAACATCTCCCTGCCAGGGCCCCTCAGAGGGAGTACCGTCTCCCCTCTCTGAAGCAAAGCCACAGGCTTCCTTTGTCATTAATTCATCAGGCTGGGTCCAGACCCCAAGGCCAGGCCTTGTCTGCCTGAGAGGCAGATCTAAAAACAGCTCAGGCCTCAGAGAGGGGCCAGCCCAGTGTCTAATTGCTCAGAGCTCTCTCTGCATCCTCCTTGTGCTCCCCCCCCCCGCAGGCGGCTTGAAGAGTGAAGACTCACTTTGATTTGGAGAGGGAGAAGAAAAGAAAGCTGCTTGCAGGTGTGGAGCCACAATCGCCCAGGCAACAGAGGGGAAAATGCCTCTCGGCAGGCAGGCTGCTAGCACAGGTGCAACTCCATTTTCCTAAGCCCATGCAGAGAGCGGGAAAGGAGTTGGGGAGGGGGTTTTTGGAGGGGGACACACGCTGCACGCTTGTGGAGAAGTCCAGAAGCAGATTGGGGTGTTTTTAATCCATCACAGGACCTGGAATACCAAAGAGCCCTGGTTGTAGCTATGAATTCTTGTTGTGTAGGAAAAAAGTTATGAATGGACAGATGAGTTACCTTGAACCTTGTGTATATTTTACCTGGGCCAAAATGGGAGTGAGGGAAGGAGGGAGTATGAATAGTGCCCATTTGGCTGGAAGTTTCCAAGACATTCGTTCAACTCTGCATTCCTTCAGCCTGCATTTATTATTGATAATAATAGCTACCATTTAGTGGCTCCCACAGTAGAGCAGGTGCTTGCTAAGCACTTTAACTTACCGTATGCAACTCAGGTCTCGCAGCTTCTCTGTGAGACAGACCTTACCATCTGCATTTTATTGATTAAAAAAAACTTTCTCAGCCAGAGACAGAGACAGGCACTTGCCCACTAAGCCCATGACCTGTAAGCGTAAGGGTTCAAAACCAGAAGTAACCACGTCCCAAGTCAAAGCTCTTACCTGCCAGGGTTGTCCCCTTCCCTCTGTGGGTCTCTGTGCCTGGCCTTGGGCTGACCATTAGAATAAATGTTTGGTATACCAAGTATTCTTGGAACGACATGTTAGAGGTCCATCTTGAGATTTAGCCATAAGAGGCAACAAAAGCTGTACTCTGCTCTTCCTCTGTGTAGCAAAGATGCCTGCTAAGCAGGCTAAGCTTCCCCACTGAGGCATGGAGTACACCATTAACTAAGATGACCTAGTTCTCTGGCCCACTGATAGCCACACTACCTAGTGAAACTTCCTCTCTCCCCCAGAACTTAGACAGGACCTAATCTACTCTTGTGACTTGGCTTAGTCAACAAAATGCAGTTGAAGAGTTAAGACTCTTCTGAGCTAGGTTTTAAGAACCTGGTAGCTTCTCCACCCTCACCCCTGTTTCTCTTGAAATCTGACCTTTGTCACGTGGCAGCCTCAATGTCTTCTTATAAAATAGGAGACACATGTCCTGGTCGTTGATGAACCTATGACACACAATGAGACCACGCTAGACTATCTAGCCTCCAGCCAAATCAATGTGAGCACAGTCAGCGGAGGGAACCCAGCACACACCAGAAGACCTCCTGACAGAAGCCCACCCGAATCCTCACCTGCAGAACAGGGAGCTGAACCACCGGTCATCAGGCTGTCAACAAGACCAGGGTTAGGGGTCTTGTCACTCATCTGTTTCCTTAAGCTGAGAAGCCACAGGGAAGTGTGATCAGAGGTATGCTCAGTCCCCGGTGCCCCAGGACCCACACAAATGCAGGCCCTTAAGCCTGGAATGTTTCTGCACCCTGGCCTCTTTGCCACCTTTTGTTGTTGTTGTTGTTATATTTCACTTTACGGAAAGAGGATGCCGCAGGCTGGGAGAAAAGAGAGTTCTTGGAAGCTGGGAGCTGATTGTACTGACACACTTATGAAGCTGAGCTACACAGCAAGACCTTTTCTCAAAAAAAAAAAAAAAAAGTCAGTGGATCCTGTGTGGAAGGCAAGACCATGAAGCCATGGGTTGGGTATTCAGATTCCTGTAACACTCACATCTTTTTATTGGAGGTCAAATAATTATTTCCACCTGTGTGCAGCTGACCCATCAGCTCTCTGCGGAACCCTCTGTGTTGAAGCTGGTGTTCTCTTGAGAAACACACCACTGGGAGATTAGACACAGTCCTCCTCATCCATGTGTTTTTGCCTTTTCATAATTTCAGTTACCACTGCCAACGGCAATCAAACACAGTCTAAAAATATTAAAGTGGAGTTTTCCTGAAATAAATACTTCATTAATTTTAAACACTTATATTAGACTAGATTGCTAAATTGTTCCATTATTGGTTATAATCATTGATAACTGGTACCCAATTTAAAGTGTAAACAGGTATGAATTGGGTAAATATAGGAAAAACAGAGTCTATACAAAGTTAGGCATCCTCAATTTCAAGTACCCCCTGGAGTTCCTGCATGCATGTGTAAATACATACACATGTAGGATATATTGTAAGATGCTGGCTCATATTATCAAACTCGGACTAAGAGGCCCTCTCATGTACCACATGAGAGCTGAAGACTGAAGAAAGCCAGCAGGGCAGTTAAGTCCTGGGAGCTGGAGATGCAAGGACTCCTGAATAAGCTTGGGCAGGTGGGTTGGGAACCAATTCAACCACTCTTTGTCTTTTCATTCTAACCCTCATTAGATTCAGGGATGCCCACCCCATGAGGAGAGCCATCTGCTTTATTCAGCCCACCAGTTCCAAAGCTAATTCCCAATGGAAATATATGGGAAGCATACCCAGAAATCACATTTAACCAGGTTTCTGGGCACTTGCTGGCTCTGTCAAGTTTGATATAAAATTAAACAGCACATGCTTTGTATCAGGGAAGATGTCATGTGGCAAAGCATGAGGATAGAAATAGAAAAGAACCAGGCACACTGCATTATTTTCCTAGTGCTTCTGGACCAAATTACAGCAAACACAAGCATCAAAGGCTAGAGAGACGGCTCAGTGGCTAAGAGTGTGTGCTGATCTTCCAGAGGATTCAGGTTCAGTCTCAGCATCCACATGATGCTCTACAACAATATGTAACTCAAGTTCCAGCGGATCTACCTAATGCCCCCCTTTGGCAATACACACACATGGTACACAGACATGCATAGAGGTAAACATTCATCTACACAAAACAAAAACAAATTTTAAAACACACACACAAGTTTACTCTCTCATGACTCAGGAGGCCAGAAGCCCAGAATCAAGGGGTCATGAGGACTGGTTCTCCCAGAAACCCTAAGAAAGGATGCCTCTCACCTTAGCTGTGTCTGCAGAAGAGGTGTCTGCAGAACTAGGAGGTAGTAAGAAAGGTGTTTAGTGTGACTGTAGCCAGGACCCAGGCTGTGAGCAGCCCTGTACCACAGCACTTAGAGAATACAGACCTAGGCCAAGGTTGTTAGATAATTGCACTCAATGTCATGCATGACAACCACAGCTCCCGTGCCAGGTGACTATGTCACTGTTGCACATCAGATCCCAGAAAAGACATTTCTAGAAATCACTGGAAGTATTCACATCCTTTTCCATTAAATCCTTTGGCTGGCCAATCCTGATCTGTGGTAGCACTTCTGAGAAGGGTAAAGAGAAGGTGATAGCCCTGTCAAAGGAAGCTGTCTGTCACTGGATCCTGCTACCTTTTGCCTAGTCATCCGACACTCCTCTTGGATGCCTGAAACTTACCTCAAATCACCAAATTCCTAGACTCAGCCCACATAACAAGCCAACAGATTTGCTTTGCCTGCCTTTCCCAACCTGAACTTTAACCTCCTAGCCTCAGTTAGCATGACCTCTATGATCAGCTGGCAAGAAAGAGCCCACCTACTCTACAGGAGATGGAATCTCAAAGCTTCTTGCTCAAGGAAAAGAAGGGGTAGGTAGTCTAAGTCTACCTCAACCTTCCAACTGCCGAGACTGCAGACACCCACACCCAGAAGGCTCATTCTCTTTCACATTACACTGGCTGGACAGTGTCAAACCACAGCCACCCCATGTTTGTTCAGGAGGAGGTACCCCGACTTGGCTTTGCTCCTGTTAATCTCCAGGTTGGTTGGTTCACTTCAGCTCTTGACACCGAAAGCATGCCTTTCCCTGGTGATGAGGGTGCCAGGCAGTTCGACAGGCCTGAATGCAGGATGTGGGTACTTCCTGGGTGGAAAAGGCCCACATTTGACATGGCTTCTGGTGCAGGTGGGAACTGTACAGCTGCAGGGAGCTACACAGAGGGGGCAAAGGAGGAAGGCAGAGGTGGCCCAACTCTATCAACAGTACAGCCAGCCTTGGTGGCTGTGACAGAAGAGTGGCCAGGGTTCACACAATCTGCCCCATGCCTTCGCACACGCTAGCCCCTGTCAGACACTCCACCAGCCTCTCACTTCGTGTGTCTTTCTTCGCAGTGTAACTTCAGGATCACGTATTCTGAGAAACTGTTGTCTCTCCGAGAGACCCAGTGCTGGGTCCCCACATGAGACACATACCCTCCTTTACAGTGTCCTGTCATCGTCAGATTAGATTCTTGCACTCGAGACTGCAGGTTTCTTCCAGAAAAGGACCCAACTTCAGATTCTGGATGAAACTTTGGAGGGAAAAGGAAAAAAAGAAAAAGGAAAATAAAGCTGCATGGAGAAAGGAAAGGAGGTAGAGGGGGAAGAAAAGTGTGATGGTTTGCTAAGGACGGCCCTCATAGACTCGTGTTTGAATGCTTAGTCACCACACGGTGGAGCTGTTTGAGTTAGGAGGTGTGGCCTTGCCGGAGTGGGTGTGTCCTTGTTGGAGGAAGTATGTCCCTGGGAGTGGGCTCTGAGGTTTCAAAAGTCTATACCAGGCCCAGGCTCCGCCTTTCTGTCCGTGGATCAGGGTGGAGGTCTCAACTGCGCCCCACCACCTTTGCATCCACCGCACTCCCTGCCGTAGTGATAATGGACTCCCCTCTGAAACTATAAGCAAGCCCCCAGTTAAATGCTTTCTTTTCTAAGATTTGTCTTGGTCATGATGTCTATTCACAATAATAGAACAGTGGCAAAAACAGGAAAAAAATGATGGAGAGAAGGAAGCAGGAAGAGAGGAAAAAAGAAAAGAAGGAAGGAAGGAAGGGAGGAAAGAAGGAAGGGAGGAAGGAAGGAAGGAAGGAAGGAAGGAAGGAAGGAAGGAAGGAAGGAAGGAAGAACAAAGGACGGCTGGACTGGCACAACTGTCACCTCCTTTTCGGTATTCAAGTGGAAATCCATGTTCTTATCACCGATGACCTCACTCCTCAGCATCCAGGACATGCCCAAGGGCCCTGCTGCCTAGTTTTGTGTGTCAACTAGACACAAGCTACAGTCATCAGAGAGGAAGGAGCCTCACTTAAGGAAATGCCTCCATGAGACCCAGTTGAAGGACATGTTCTCAATTAGTGATCGATGGGGGAGGGCCCAGCCCATGGTGGGTGGTGCCACCCCTGGGCTGCTAGCCCTGGGTTCTATAAGAAAGTGGACTGAGCAAGTCAGGGGACACAAGGCAGTAAGCAGCACCCTTCCGTGGCCCCTGTATCAGCTCCTGCCTCTAGGATCCTGCCCTGTGTGAGTCCCTGTCCTGACTTCATTCTGTGATGAACAGCAATGTGGAAGTGTAAGCCAAATAAACCCTTTCCTCCCCAGCTTGTCATTCGGTCACGGTGTTTTGTCGAAAGCAATAGAAGCCCCAGTCAAGGCAGGCCCCAAACACCTGCTTCCCCAGAAAGGTTCTGGTCAAAGCCAAGGTCTCTACAGCACTGTCACAGAGGCTGGCTCAGGGCAGAAAAAAAGGACAAGGAAATTCAGAGGGGCACGGGAAGGAGGAAGGAGCCCCTCACCCAACACCGTCTGCATCTGACTCACATTTCTCAACGGCCGAGAGTCAAGACTCACAGCAGACAAAACTCAAAAGCGCTGTGAAGCCTGCCTGCACAGAAACATTACTCCTTTCCTGAGAGAGAGAGCTCAGGCAAGAGCAGTAAAACAGCTAATGAACCGTGCTAAAGGCCAAAATGTATGTGGACCTTTGAGTCTAACTTCATCAGCACTCCTTGTCTCATCCATAAACCCGCACAGCTCACCGCATAAACCACCTTACAATCACATTTATAAAAGATAAGCAAAATAAGTAAACCGGCTCACAGCTTTGTACTTAAATTTTAAACTTTGCATAATCTTTGCACTTGCTTGCAAATTATATCCTTCGGCCATATTAACTTCAAAATGCTACTTACTAAGACACTTAAATGAGTGTCTCTCTCCCCTCTTCTCTCTGTCTCTCTCCCCCCCCTTCTCCCCCCACCTCTTTGTCTGTCTGTCTGTCTTTGTCTCCCCCCTATCTCTCTCTGGCTTTGTCTCTCTGTCTCTCTTTGCCTCTATCTCCTCCAGTACGTACTCCTTAACTATATGTGTGTCTTTACTTAATAAACTGCAGCTTTAGTTTCATACAGTTTTATCTTTTAATTATTTTCTGATGTAGAAATCAAAACTCTAGCTTCACATGAATGCTGGGCCAGCATGGGCTATCGCTCTCGGGATCCTGAATAGAGACAAACTGAGAACGAGAGTTGAGTTGCTCTGTTTTACTCTTCTGTACACAGCAACATTAGGAAAGGCCTCATCTTTTCCAAATCTACTTCACAATGTGTCAGACAGCAAGGTCCAGCAACACCAGCACTTTTTGAGTTAAACATGAAAGAAAGAGGTTGGGACAGACAATGCAAGTGTTAGGAGAAAAGGTGGTCTCGGGATATCTGCAGCAGTGAGAGTTTCTTTAAAATCCACACCATAGTCATCATTTAGTGTCTGCATTATATAGATTTACTTGTGATTTGTTGGTCCTGGACTTGAAGAAATTCCCCCCAAAGTAACCTTTCACTAAGATTATTGGTTGAAGCCTGTACAATGTCTAGGGATCTATAAAATGCC